TGATTATGGAGCATCAGGAAAGCAAAATCAATTTCGACATATTCCGTAATATTTTAATAACTATTTGAATAGCTGTATTTGGTGATACTTTTCATTTAATGATGGCTTTCAGTTTGTTTTTCTTGTGTTTTAAGAATGTTAATATATTGAAATTTATGAAAATTAAAATTGCTACTTAGAGATTTCATATTTGAAAATCACATCATGAAGCTATTAGTGTATTTAACATGATGTGATTTGCAAGAAAAATGTTAGCAGTTCACTTTCTTTTTGGGCCTCTTGAGTGAGTGTAGAGAAAATCTGTGGAATACACCTAGAGCTGGGCTCTCCGCCCTCTTCGCCTTCCTTCTCTGCCTCTGGGCTCTGCACTGCACCTGCCCTGGGGTCGCCAGCCGGCCTCCAGCCTGGTGCAGTTGTGGTGCGGCCCCGCCCACGTCGGGGACCACGCCCACCCGCAAGCCACGCCCACGGAGGAGGCCACGCCCACGCCTGCAGCCCCACTCCAGCCTGGCCCTGCGAGCGGGACCTTGGACTTGGGGCGGGGCCAGTTTGGTGGCCACAACAGTGACAGTACGTCACCCTCCCGCCCGCCCGGAGAGGGCTCCTTCTGCACTTTTGCCCTGGTGGCCCCTGGAGAGGGCAGGGGCTGCCCCAGCACCTCTGAACCCCTCCTCCCTCCTCCCCCTTCCCCTCGCATTTCCACCAGCTGGGGGCTTGGCCGGGTCGTGTCTCCTCTCCCCAAACCCACCAGGTCCCTGGCACCGGGTTCAGGGACTGCGCAGTGCTTCCCTCCTGCCCTCGTCCCCCTGTGCCCCCGTGAACCCGCCCAGCCTCACACCCTAGTGGCCCATTTCTGCTCCCCAGGGTGGCGTTTATGCAGACGCGGATGCCCAGCCTGAGCCGAGCTGTTTGAAGTGTGTCTTGGCTTCCCAGGGGGTTCTTCTGGGGGCCCGTACTGGGCGCTTGCAGACTGGTCCTGGGGGTGCTTTGTGGGGTGCCTGACCGCTCTGTTCCCTGTCTCCCCCGGCCCTGCTCTCTCCCGGCCGATCAGACCCGAGGCGTGGCCGGCTGGATGATTTTCTTCCTTTCCCGTTGCCCACCCGCCTGGGTTCTCTGCGCGCTCCTCCCAAACGCTGCGAGTGATCTTGGGATCTCCCACATCGCCTCGCTGCAGCTCAGATCGTTGACGCCCTTGTGCAGTGTCCACACGTCCGTCCTTGGTCCTCTCCGGCTCCCAGACCTCTGGACTCTGCCCCCACCTGGCAGGGACGGGGCACACTCGGGGCAGGGAGGTGGGACTTCCCGGGCAGTGCTCAGAGGCCTGCAGGGTCCCTCCGGGGGTGTCTGCGAGAGCCGGGAGACGGAGACGCGGTGCCCCGTGGGGGTGGGGGGGTAACCGTGGCCACTGGCCGTGCTTAGTGGAGACGCCGCGCACCCGGGCCCTCCCTGCACCCTCCCTCTCCTTGCCGGGGACAGTTTTGCTGCAAGACCCTGGGCGTAGAGGTGCGGGGAAGTCGGTCTGCAGCACGGAGGCTGACACACGCAGGGGCCGGGCCCAGGAGGTGGCGATCGGGTGAGGCTGTGGTGGTGGGCCCGTGGTGGGGCCCAGGTTCTCTCCCCAGCGCCAGGAGTGCTCCCGAGCACAGAGCCGGGAGGAAGCCCCGAACCCAGCCTTTCCCCGTTCTTGCTCGAGTTCGTCTGCAGTTCCACGGGACGGGACGTGTGAATGAGCCCTCGCAAACGGTCCTGTACCACAGCCGGTTGGGGGCGGGGGGGGGGGCGCAGGCCCTGGCCTCTCACTGGGAAGGCCACGGCTTTCTGTCCGAGCTGACCCCTGGCACCTTCTCGCTCTGCGTCCCTGCGCACGCCCAGGTCTGGGCTCCCCGCGATGGCCGTCAGCCCGGGGCCCTGGGCGCTGGAGGGAGAAGGCCGCAGGGGCTCAGATGGCCAGGGGTACGAGGGAGACCCAGTGACCCTGGGGACACGTGCGGGGACCCCTCGGACTGGCAGCCGCCTCTGTGGCAGAGCAGGGAGCACTCTGGATGTCTCAGGTCGGGGGGTCTCTGCGAGCCCCTCGGGAGCTGGGGGAGGGAGGCTTGTGCTTGAACCTGGAGCTCCGGAAGAGGAGCCCTGTGAAGCCTGTGACCTGCCGAGGGCAGCGTTGAGGGACCAAGTCTCAGCCCTGGGCTGTGCTCTGTCCTGCCGCGGCCCAGCTCTGCATTTCGTCGTCTTCGTCTTCTCCGTCTCCTCCTCCTTCGTCATCTTCAACATTTCTTCCTCCTCCTCCTCCTCTTTTTTCTTTTTCTCCTCTTTCTTCCTTCCCTCCTTCTTCCTTCTTCCTTTTTGCTTTTGGGGTCACACCTGGCTCTCTCCTGACTCTGTGCTCAGGATGACTCCTGGCAGTGCTTGGGGGCCCAGTGTGGGGTGCAGGGATCACACTCGGGGTTGGCCAAGAAGTACAAAGTCTGCCCCCCCTTTTCTAGGCTGCGATTCCCAGACATCTCCCGAGGCTCGAGGTTTTCTTCACTAATTTTAGCTTTAACGTGTCTTGGATGATGGCGTTAGGGCAGAGAACATGATGTGTTTTTTCTTCTTCTGTTTGTTGCTTTTAAAAACAGCATCTAGTATAATTTTTTCCTTTTTTTAAAAAAAAAGTTGTGGGCAACTTGTATGGTAACACATGAAAGAATATGCAAAAATCTTGTTATTTGTAGATTTTTATCTTTATTTTCTGGCATCAGGGCCACACTCAGTGGTGCTCAGGGTTTACTCCCGGCTCTGAGGCTCAGGGATCACTCCTGGTGGTGCTCAGGGGACCATGTGGTGCCGGGAATTGAACCTTGATCAGACAAGTTCCCACCCACTGTACTATCTCCTTAATTTCTAGGTTTTTCTTTTAAAACAAATTTTATTTTTAAAATTTTATTTTAGGGGGCTGGAGAGATAGCACAGTGGGTAGGGCGTTTGCCTTGCACGCAGGGCCAGCCCGGGTTCGATTCCCAGCATCCCATATGGTCCCCTGAGCACCGCTAGGAGTGATTCCTGAGTGCAGAGCCAGGAGTAACCCCTGTGCATTGCCAAGTGTGACCCAAAAAGCAAAAAAAAAATTTTATTTTATTTTTTATTTATTGAATCACTGTGGGAAAAGTTACAAAGCTTTCAGGTTTAAGTCTCGGTCATGCAATCATCAAACACATTTCCCTTCACCAGTACTTATTTTTCACCACCAAGAACCCCAATATACCCCCCCTCCCAACCCTCCCAACCCTACCAATGCCTGTGAGGCAGATGAATTCTAGTTAACACTCTGTCTACTTTGGTTAGATTCATTTAAAACAAATTTTAAAACCCCAAATATCTTTTTTTTAAAAAAAAGTCATGTTGGCTTTTACTGTATTAGATAAAACGAAAGGAATCTAACTCATTCAAAAAACACATTTATAAGTGCTTGTTAAAAAGTGTAGTTTTTCAAAGTGACGTGTCACGAATTTAGTAAGAAAACTAACATCAGCTTGTGTTTTTGCTCCCCTCCCCCCCAGCTGTGCTCAGGACTTACTCCTGTGTCTGTGCTCAGGGATCGCTCCTGGCAGGGTGTGGGGGGCCGCGTGCAGTGCCGGGGACCGAGCCTGGGTTGGCCGCGTGCCAGGCAAGAGCCCCTCCTGCTGTGTTTTCACTCTGGCCCCATTTTGCGCTTTTGCCAAAAGAAAAGTGAGCCGTGAGGGCCCCCACACCCCCATTTGCACTAATAAGGCTCCGCCCACAGAAGAGGGTTGAGTGTCTGTCTTCATTTTTTTTTTTTGGGTTATACCCAGCAATGCTCAGGAATGACTCCCAGCGGTGCTTGGGGGGCACCCTATGGGATGCTGGGAATCGAACCTGGGTCGGCTGCGTGCAAGGCAAACGCCCTCCCCGCTGTGCTATCGCTCCATTCCCCCCCCCCCATGCCCTTTCACTGTAAGTCACGTGAAAGGCAAGAGGCCCCAGGTCCCAGGTTTCGGGGGCTGTGCACCTGAGCCCCCGTGAGGGCTCCAGGCTCTTGGGTGGGTGGGCCCGGGGTGTCCCTGGGGACACCGGGGAGGCAGGGGGCTCAGCTCCTGCTCCCAGGGTCTCCTTTGCTGCCCCCCCACCCCCGCCTGGTGCCCCGACGACCTTGCAGGGCGAGGCCCGTGAGTCAGGTGGCTTCCTTTGGGGGGGCTTTCTTCCTGGTTAGTCACGCCGCAGGCATCTGCCCAGGGCTCTGACTCAGCCGCCTGGGCCCGTGGCAGGGCAAGATAAGGAGTCCAGGAAGAGCTGGCCCTGTCAGGACGGGGCGTTCTCGGAAGCCTCGCAGGCGCCTGGACACAGAAGCCAGAAGCGCGGCCACGGTCTCTGCAGGCATTTTGGGGGGCCCCGGGCTCTCCTCCTGCAAGCCCCTGTGCCTCTCACCCCCCCTTCCGGCACCGAGGTGGCGCCCGGTGGGCAGAAGAGGGTGTGGGCCGCAGTCCCCGTTCGGTGCCCAGACGGAAAGGAGGGTTTGCACGCGTGGCGTTGCCCCTTCCTGCTCTGGGTCAGCTGCAGGTGGACTGCAGCCAAACGCTCCTGGAGGACGGCCGAGTCCCGGCATGAGGCCGACACGCAAACAGCTTCAGGCTCACGGGAGACGCCGGGTCCCTCGGTTCCCGGGCCTCTGGGCACTAACGCACCTCTTGCCTTTTTTTCCCCCCTTTTGGGTCACACCCAGCGATGCACAGGGGTTCCTCCTGGCTCTGCATTCAGGAGTTACTCCTGGTGGTGCTCAGGGGACCGTATGGGATGCTGGGGATCGAACCCGGGTCAGCCGCGTGCAAGGCAAATGCCCTCCCCACTGTGCCATCGCTCCAGCCCCACGCACCTTTTGCTTTTGCTGCGAAAGGGAGGAACTCGAGGTGGGGCCCTTGGACGCGCCGAGAGCCCAGCGTCTAACCGCGCATTTCACTAACGGTCTCTGAACTTTTTCCTCTGTCCTCCTCCGCCGCCTCCAGCGCTTCAGCATGGACGGGATCTCAAATGTCTTTCAGCACGGCTTCCGCCACACCTTTGGGAACGCGGGTGCAGACAAACAGGTGCTTGGTTCTCCTCTCCGTTCTCTGCCGCTCTGTCCTCTGGAGGGGCTGCCTCGCACACGAGTGCTCTCGGCCTGCTCGGGGGGAAAAAAGCCTTTTCGAGGGAGACCCCCAGCGAACCCTGCCCGCCCCCTCCCCCCAACCCCTTCCGCACGCTCACCTGGGACTAACTGTGTGATGTGAGGAGTCGCACGCAGAGGGCGCAGAGCTGTAGATGTCACCGAGCTGGACCAGGCCCAGTTCTAAAGGGCGCAGAGGCCAGCTCGCGTGCGGGCTGAGAGGGGCGTTGGTAGCGTCAGAGGAAAGTTCTGGGTCTGTGGTGTCTCAGAGGGCCCCCGACCTGCTCAGGGTGCCACGGTCCCCGCGGTCGAGGCGGGGATGCGTGGCATGAACGCTCGGCTGGACCGGGGAGAAGCTGCAGGACAGGGAGAGCCGGGTCCCCACCAGCGTTTCTCTGTAGTGGTCCCGGAAGTGCCACCAGCCCGGGAGACGCGTGGGCAGACAGATCTCGGGTGCCCAGTGCGGCTTTTCACATTTTGCAAGTTTCCTCCCCCCAGAACTCTCACGCCAACTCCGGCCGCCTGTGTGTGAAGGTGTTTCTGGCTGTTTCTGGGCTTGGCATGTGCATCCCCCGCAGCCTGAGGGGTCTGTCGGGCCGTGAAGGTGCAGCCGTGGCCCTCAAGGACCCTGGTCTGGCCCTTGGCGGAGGGCTGGCGGGCCGAGGGCTTCCGGGGCTCCTCGTTGGGGAAGCCCTAGCATGGCCGGCTTGTCTCCCACTTACTGGAACTTTCTCTCGAGAGGCGATTGGCCACCCGCCTGGCCCTTTCTGTACGAGTTGCGGTAAAAATGCAGCAGGAAGAAAGTGCAGGGCTCAAGAAGGAACCAGTCATTCTTTTTTCTGTATTTTTTTTTTTGGCCACACCTGGCAGTGCTAAGGGCTCCTCCTGGCTCTGAGCTCAGGGGCCGCTCCTGGCGGGCTCTGGCGACCGTCTGTGGTGGTGGGTCAACCGTGTACAGAACCAGAACCAGCGTCCCACCTGCTGTACTGTCCTGCCGACCCAGGAAAAAAAGGCCTTTAAGAAAGTTCGATTGCAGCTCAAGCCACCTGGTTACAGTAACTGTTGGTGTTGGTGGTTTTAAAGGGGCAGGTCGATCCCTGCGTCCCACCATCGCTGAGGCCCCCAGACCCTCCGCCTCTGGCCCTGTGTCGCTTCTGCTTGCTGCTGCTTTTGGCTGCGTTTCTAGACTGTGGCTCCAGCTATTGGTCAACTGTATCTTGTGGGTCTTTTTTGGGGGGGGGGGGGGGCAGGCCCAGCTGTGCTCAGGACTCAGTTCTGGTCTTGCCAGGGATTGAACCCGGGTCCGTTGCATGCGAAGCAGGTGCGTTCCCCACTGTCCCAGCCTGTATTTCGAATTTTGATGAGGAGTGGCACAAACCCCCTCTCGGAATTTCTCAGAACTGAACGGAGCTGAGCTTTAGGGCTAACGAAGGGACTGGGCTGGGTGAAGAGCCTTCAGGTGGAGGCTCCGTCAAGGAGCAAAGGCGGGTGCAGGCCCCGGCAGCAGGCCCCGGGGGAGAGGTGAGGCTCAGGGGGCTCTGGACAGTCCCGGCCCAAGGACGCATTCAGGGGCAGGGCTGGCGGAAGTGACTCCAGGGCTCGGAGGCCAGAGGTTGAGGTCCGGGTTTTCTTACACCAGGTCCGTCTACTGCCCGTCATCTCTAACACCTTTAAGAACCGTGGCTGCTTCCCCGGGAGCGCCAGGAACACCGGTGGTGGCGAATGCGCCTCTAGCGGGACTGGGTCACGCCTGCCAGGCCCGGGGGAGGGGGGTGCTTGAAAGGTGCCCAGTTCAGCTGCTGACCAGGACGTTCTGAAGTAATAGACTCATCTGGGGGGCGGTCCCCGTGGGCAGCACACACAGTCCCGTCTCTTCAGTTCCCTCAGCTCCCACCACCGTTCCACCAACGTCCCGAGAAGCAGCTGGTGAGCTGGGGCGAGGGGCGGACGGAAAGGACAGGTGCTGCTCGGGGTCTGAGGGGAGACGGCCGCAGCGCGCCCGCCTTGCTGTGTGAGAGCCTGGGTGGGCTTGATCCCCGGCACCACACACGCACACGCACAGACCCCTGCGCACATGGGCACGAGCGCACACACACACACGCGTGTAGACATGTACACATGCACACACTTGTGTAGACACACGTGCACGCACACAGGTGTACATGGAGCGCACACACGAAGACACGCACACACGGGCACGTACATGTGCACACGGACACATGCCCGCACACGTGCGTGTAGACACATGCACACATGCACACACACATGCACACATGTGCACACACAAGTGCACACGCACACACATACACACACTAAGAAGCGCACACACACATGGACACACGTACATGTGCACACACGCACATGCGTACACATGCATGCACACACATGCACATGCATGTGCACGCAAGCACACGTGTGCGCACACACACACACACACACACACAGCTCCAGAAGGATGTTGGGATTGACAGATGAGCCTCAGGCAGACGAGTGGGTGTGAGGGGCTCACATTTCATGGCATAAGCGACCCGGCAGCAGCGTGACTGTGGCAGAGTTTTGTCCAGAAGGTCGTGAAGATCTGAGTGACGCGTCCTTTCCCCCTTTCCTTCGACAGTACCTGACGACAGTCATTCCTTACGAGAGGAAGAACGGGCCGCCGTCCGTGGAGGACCTGCAGATACTGACCAAAAGTGAGCAGGCGGCCTTACCTGTTTCCCGTGTCTCGACAGACGGTGGCTGGCTCAGTTGGGGGCTTGTGGCTGTTTCCTCCTGTCATCTTGGGAGAGTAGATGGACCCCGTTATTTATGTTCTTAAGAGGGAACCGTAGATGGCTCAGCAGAAGGCTGAATCCAGCGTCAGCCCGACCTTTCTGGTCTCCTGTGACCTTTGGAGAAATTTGTCAGCTCACCTTTGGGGGCGAAAATGCAGCTTGATTCCCCGCCTGTTGGGTGTGCGAGAGCAGTCCTAGCAGGACAGGTTGCTTTGTGGGGTCCCGTGGAGTGACCCTGGGGAGATTTAGGGGACATGTGGCCTCAGTCACTCCTCTTCCTTCCGCAAGTAGAGCCCCGGGGGTCTCTCTGGGCGGAGCAGAGCGCGGACTCCCCTTGTGCATTCTTGTCTCGTGGGGTCCGGGGCTGTCGCAGGCACGGCTCCATGTGCCAGTTTTCAGGTTCTTCCTTTTTGTAGAAGGAGAAGCCAGAGCCGTGCCACTGCCGGTCTGAACTAAGGGAGCTCTGATCTCCAGAAAAGCGTCAGCTTCCCCGCGGGGGTCGGGGGACGGGGTAGGGTTGCACCCAGGAATGCCCTGTGGGGCTTTGACTCCTGGCTGGCCTTGGGGAGTGATTTTTCTGTAGACTCAGAAAAAAAATGGAGGGCTGGAGAGATGGCAGAGGGTGTGAGTCAGGGAAGTGCCGCAGGTAGCTGGAACAATCTGACCAAATCCCAACTGTCATGCCCCAGGGTCTCGAGCGGCTCTTGTTCTGTTGTCTAACTGCACTTGGCACGAATCAGCTGTCACGGGGACCGGGGACCGGCAGGTCACGGGGGTGGGAACGAAGCAGGAGCCGGATGTGACTGTGAATTTTTCTCGTGGCAGTTCTCCGTGCCATGAAGGAGGACAGTGAGAAGGTGCCCAGCCTGCTGACGGATTACATTCTGAAAGGTGAGTCGGGGGTGGTCCTGCGGGCCGTGGGAGGGGAACAGTGATGGGCGAAGATGTGGACCAGGAAGCAGCTTCTTCCCCACACAGTGCACTGAGGTCAGACGAGCCACACCCGGCAGTGCTCACCAGGGAGGTGCTGTGTACGAGGCTTGTCACCCGTGTCCTCCGAGCCAGCACCTAGACCCCCAGAGTCCCACCTCTGTCCGCAGTCCTGGGCCAGAAACGACTCCCACAGCTGTCAGCCCGGTCACGGGTGGGGGACAGTCTCGGCAGAGGCGCCGTTACCGCATGTGGCTGATACTCTCTGTCCCCGCACCCCCGAGGTTCCCCTGAGCCCACCAGGAGTGATCCCTGAGCACAGAGCCAGGAGTAAGCCCAGAGCACCGCCGGGTGGGCCCCTGTATGTCCCCCAGAAACCCACAAGGGAGACAGGGAGCTCGTCTCCCATGCCCCCAGCAGGGTGGTCTTGCTCCCTGCCGCCTTGGAGAGAACAGAGAAGGATGGAGGTCGAGGGGTGGGGACAGGGAGATCGGCTCCTGCGTCTTTAGTCTTTGGGCCACACCTCTGTCTCCTAGCCCAGGGGAACCATAGCTGCGTGCTCCCTGGGGAGCCGTGGGTGGCCGGGCAGGGGCTCAGGAGGAGTTTTGGGGGTGGGGGTGGGGGGCGGGGTGGGGAGGTTCAGTGCACTTTACCGACAGCACTTCATACACGGCTCCTTCTTGCGGAGCGGGAGCCGTGTCTTGAGCTCCCTCACGTTTTTCTCTTTGCGTTGTGCTAGCACTGGCATGAGAGCAGCGAGGTTCGAGGTTTGTTCCCACGCAGGCACGCAGAAAGCACCTGCCTGCCGCTTTAAGGGGGGGGAATGGGGCTGCGCGGGGCGGAGCCTATAGGGGGCGGGGCTACATTTGGGGCGGGGCCTAGAGAGGGCGGGGCGGAGCTGTGCTGGGGGCGGGGTTGCGCTGGCGGCAGTCGCGATGGGGCGGGGCCTCGCAGGGGGCAGGGCTTTGCTAAAAGGGGGGGTCACTGGGGGAGGAACCTCAGGGGGCGGGGTTGGAGGTGGGGCGGGGCCTTGTAGGGGGCAGGGCCAAGATGGGGTGGGGCTTTGCTGAGGGCGGGGTCTCTGGGGGCGGGGCCTCGCAGGGGGCAGGGCGAGGAACCTCGGGGGGCGGGGTTGGAGGTGGGGCGGGGCCTTGTAGGGGGCAGGGCCAAGATGGGGTGGGGCTTTGCTGAGGGCGGGGTCTCTGGGGGCGGGGCCTCGCAGGGGGCAGGGCGAGGAACCTCAGGGGGCGGGGTTGGAGGTGGGGCGGGGCCTTGTAGGGGGCAGGCCAAGATGGGGTGGGGCTTTGCTGAGGGCGGGGTCTCTGGGGGCGGGGCCTCACAGGGGGCAGGGCTAAGGTGGGGCTTTGCTGGGGGCGGGGCCGCTCGGGGGTGGAGCCGAGATGGGCGGGGCGCTGCCTAGCCGCCCTCTCATTGGCCGCTGGGAAGCCCGAGGGGCGGGCCAGGCTGAAGGCTTTTGGGTCAGGAGTGGGCGCCCCCGGGACTCCCCCTCGCCCTGCCCCCGAGGCTGCTGCACCCGCGTGGCCCCTCGTGGATGCCGGGTCTCTCTCCCGGGGGTAGGGACGAGGCTTCCCTGCGGGGTGAGGATGGGGGTCCCGGCCCCCGCTGACGCCCGTCTCCTCCCCGCAGTGCTGTGTCCCACCTAGGGGCCGCCCCGCGCCCCCCAGCGCCTCGCACCCGGCTCCTCCGTGACTCAGTATTAGCGGACCCCGCCCTGCCCTGCCCGCTCGGACTCCGCAGGGGGCTCCGCACCGCGACCTCCCCTCCCCCCCCGGACTCTGCAGAGTGGGGGGCCGCAGGAGCTCGCCCCACGCGTGCTCCGGGCCCCTGGAACTTTCCGGTTGGAAACGGGCCCGCAGCGGGGGTCCCGGGGTCGCTGCCGCTCGCAGTATTACCCGGTGGCATCGCCTACCCGGGCATCACGGCCGTCCCACGCCTCCAGTGACGTCAGAGCCCTGGGCCTCCAGTGACGTCAGAGCCCTGGGGGGCGGAGGGGCGCGGACCGCTCGCCCCCAGGGTCTGGCTGGGGGCGGGGTGCCGCCAAGGGTCTCCTGGCCCTCGCACGTGCGCAGAGGCGGGTGCGGGGACCCCCGGCCGCTCCCCGGGCTCGCTCCGTGCTCCCCCGCGCTCCTGGCACTGATTCCAGAACCGTCTCGGCACGGGGACGCCCCGCCCACGGCACGCGCGCTCACAATAAACGCATCGAAACGGTCTGCACGAGCCTTGCTTTCACGCGGGGACGTGCCCCCAGCCCCCGCAAGAAGGGACGGGGGCGGCCCCCAGGGTGGGGGCGGGCGGGGACGGGCCTGCCAGACCCCCAGGGCGGCCCCTCTGGCGGACAGTGCGGGGCCACAGCGTCAGCGGACCCCCGCGGCCCCTCCCGGCCAGCCCCGCGTTCACACGCACACGCCGAGTGCCGTAGATCTATTTTATTCTTCAGGAAATTATATTCGTTTTTCTTTGACAAGAGCACAACAGGAACCGAAGTAAAAGAGGAATAGATACAGCACTCAGGATAAATCATATCTTTGAAATAATAATAATAAAAAAATTTACACCTTGTCCTATGTCCTGTTAGTATTTTCATAACATGGCCATGATCGAAAAAACAAAACAAAAAAAAGCAAGCATTTACAATTTTTTGATAAAGACTTTTATGCCCGGAATGGATTCATTGTCAACAAAATAGTATACTACTCAGGTTGATGTAAATCTATTTCGGTAACATATCATTAACAAACTTATTTTGGAAATAGATAAAAATATTGCCCCTCGATAATAAATCTTTTTTTTTTCTCTCTGATGCAAACAGCTAGAACACCTTTTACTTTTTCTTTTTTTTGATATTCTAAGACAAAAATGGTTAATCTTCAGATTAATAAATTAGGTCATTATAATAATAAATTAATTTCTTTTTAAAGTCCAGCAACCTCTGTCCAAGTATTTACAACAATACTTGAAAGCTCCTTTACAAAAACAGAACACGTTTTCTTTTCACATTAAGCATCCTGGGTATGTGTCTTTCACAACAAGCATTTTTAAAGGAAAAAAAATCGATGCACAAATGGATCGTTAGTATAAAAGTGCTAAGAGCTGTTTGGAAAGTCGACACTCGAGTTTACAGTCAGTGACATTGGAGGCGAACGACAGAAGCTTCCAGCTTATCATGGACAATATTCCAGTAGTTGATTCAAACGACCGTTTGAAGGAAAGTAAAGAATCCGGGAGCTGACCGGGACCCAGAGGCTCGGCCGCCGGGGCCTCCGGCCAATGAGCGAAGCGGACACCAACCCAGCGCCAATCAGGAGGAGGATTTTCAGCGAGGAGGCGGAGCTTCTCCACAGCAGGCGGGCACGGCCTCACACTCACGCATGCGCACACACTCGCACCTTCCGCGTCACTGCAGCGAGCACGCGGCTGTTCCAAGCATCGGTACGTGATCAGAAGAGCATTGACACGGAATGCCTGTTTGTCTCTGTTCTGGTTAAAATCTCATAAAAATACATTCAACAGGAAAACATAAATCGCATGTGTATAAATATATATGTATATATTATATACACACCCACACAAATACTCTCGCTTTTTTCTGAAGCATAAGATAGTTACATAAATATTCTATAATTGCTAAAGTTTAACGAGGCATTTTTTTTTAGCTTCAACAAAGGTGCTTGAATAATATACAATTAAAATGAAGTAGTTTCTATTTTGTAGAATCAGTATATAATAGAAAAAAAAAATAATCCCCAAACAGTAATTTTTTTTTCTTAAAAAAAAAAAAAGTTTCTTCTTAAGCTAGAGCTTCAACAAAAACCGTGAGCCATGGATGGAACAGGAGCGTGGCGCAGGGCCCGCCCTCCCCCTGCCGCCCGCGCCTGCTCTGCTGGGCACTGACCGGTGGGCTTGCGAGGACACCAAAGCAGCACAAAGGGTCACTATCTCCCCCCGAGCTCGCCAGCACGCCCCCCGGGCTGGCTCCCTCTACTGCAGCTGGAACGAGAGACAGGAGGGGTGCACGGCCCAGGCGGCCACCCGAGGTTCTGAAGTGAGGTCCCACGCGCTGGCATGCCTGGTGGGCGCTGGCTGCGGTGGTCCCGGCTGCCAGGCCGCGGGGCCAACGGTCTTGGTGCCTGCTCCTCCGGGCCTGGGCTTGCAGCCCCTGGGTCCAGTGTCCTGAGCGCCCGGGGGGCATCCTGGGGCTGCGCCCCCCATCCCGGGGACAGGCTCTCTCCCCCCCAGCCGCGCTGACCAACGTGTCTTCCCAACACCCCCCACCCCCCACCTCCCCACATTCCCCCACCGAACTCTGCGGCCCCCGGCCCCACAATATCTCTACAGCTATCTTACAAGCAAGTGTATCGGAGCGACTCGAAAGACTTTGGTTCTAAGAAAACGCTTGGTCAGTTCATCTTGAGGCGAAGGAGGGATGCGTGGGCGGCCCCGGCCAGGGGCTCTGCGCGCTGTCGCGGGTTGGTGCGAGCCAGTCCACGGGGCTAGTGCCTGAAGCCTCGTCCCGTCACGCAGCGCGGGCCGTCACACCGTCTGGTAGAAATTGTCCGCCTGCAGGTGGTTCTGCTTCTGCATGCTGTAGAAGCCACTGAGGCGGGCCGAGTTGGGCTCCGCCACCCTGAGCATGGGCTGCGTGCCGGCCGGCCGGGCCCCCTTCTTGCAGTTCACGGCCACCAGCTGGCTGCTGAGGGGAGAAGGCTGCAGGGCGAGAGGGGGGGAGGAGGGCAGACCGTGAGCCGCGGCCCGAGGCTGTGCGCGTCCCCTTGGCGTGGATGCGGGGCCCTGCGTGCAGATGGCGGACTGCAGCCCCAAAGAGACCTGGCTTGCCGTACACGCGAATAGATCTATTTTTCGGTAAGTGCTCTATGCAACAAAGGCACGCGGGTCCCGGGGTTGAGATCTCCAAGCCTGCTCGGATCGGGGCTGAGCATCCTCCACCCAGATCCTCCACCCTCCAGTAGGCAGGGGTCACACCCACCAACTGGCCCTCTGGCGCCGTGTAATCCCATCAACGGCCAAAACCCAGAGACTATAAAACCTGGCTCCCAGAAACGCACGGCCACATTTGCGGCCACGCAACATCTTATTATTTCATTCTTACTTTGGACAACCTGGCAGGCTACCGAATGTAACCTTCCCACGCGGCAGAGTCTGGCAAACTCCCCGTGGCGTACCCAATATGCCAAATACCAGTAACAATGATGGGTCTCATTCTCCTAACCCTGAAAGAGCCTTGAATATGGCACTTTTTTAAAAAAAACTCAGGGCTAAGATGAAGGAGACGTTACTGGGGCCTGCTGGAGTCAATCGACGAACAACAGGATGGTCGTGATCATGATCTGATCGCTCTATGCAACAGGTAGAAAGGGCTGCAAAGGACCCTGCATTTGCCCTAGAACGATCTCTCTCTGGCCTTTCGAAGTAGGCCTACGCAGAAGGCACTTCCTCTCGGGATTCCTGCCCCAGCCAGCCTCCTTCCCGTTGAACACCCCCCACCATCATCCCGGGCCTTCCGCCTGCCTGCCTACCTTCCCTCCTCTAGGAGGCTTGCCCGCTCTCTCTGCCAAGCACCCTGCTCTAAGCACGGAGGGCTTTCCATGCAGAAACCTGCACGTATATGTGCAAACGGCCTCTCCGAGGGGTCAAGGAGGGAGGGATGGTTTATCCGGAGATGGGTCCCAGCCCCAGCAGGGACGGTCTATCAGATATCCATCAGATATCCTCCCCCCCCCCCCCCCCCGGAGGGGCCTCTGGGAACACCCCCTCCCGCCCCTGTGTCCCGGTGTTGTACCTTCGTCGGTGAGCGGTGCCAGCACAGCAGCGGCAGGCACTGCTTCTTCTGATTGACGATGAAGAACGTGATGATGATGGACAGCCCCATCACGATGGGCACGGCCACCCAGGCGATGGAGTCCAGCACAGCCTCTTCGCCTGGGGACGGCCTCTTCTCGCCTCTGCTGTCGACCTGAAGGTGACCCATGTCTAAGAGAGAGGGAAGGGGGGGGACACTGTGGTGACTCAAAGCGGAACTCTTTAAGGATCACATTAAGTGGCACGGGGGAGTCCCTGGGGACGGACTGAGGAGAAAAGTATCAGGCCAGGGCAGGAAAATCAGGTCCCGGGTGGGCCTTGCCTCAGGGCAGGTGGATGGATAATCAGGGCCTGGGGCCTTACCTCGGGCCTGGTGGATGTCGTTTTCCCCGGGCGTGGGCCTCATGGGCACTGCAGGGTCCTTGTCGCCGCGGTGCAGGGTCCTCTCAATAGGGATGTTGGTGGGCTCTGGCGCGTACATTTCTAGAACATGGGGACATTTATCCTAAGGGCTGGTGTGTGTGTGGGGGGGGGGGTGGGGAACTTTCCTGTCCTCCTCCCTTAGGCGAAGTGAACGTGGCTCCAGTTCCCCTTTCCTGGGACATGACTGATCCACTAACGCGTCCCGAGCTTCTCGGGGGTATCTGAAGCAGGAGAGCACTTGCCTGCCACAGGGCCTGCGCCGGGCACAGCTGCCCACTGCGCCTGGGTAACCCGCTCCAGACCCCAAGCGTTGATCTGTCACGTGCTGACACTCCCGGAGGGAAGAAGCAGAAGCGTCCCCCTCCTTGCCCCCCCAGAGTGGCTCGTGGGCTCAGAGCCCACAAATGTGCCAGTCACACGCCTCACCAGCAAACAAAGCGGGAGGGTGATTTCTCTGGGCAGTGAAGGAGAGAGATGCCCGGGCCTTGGCATGGATGTCTGGATGCCGGCTCCCCGCAGCCTGTGCTCTGAGACACATTTCTAAGGGGGCACTTCTTGGGACGCTCCTGTCCCTGCATGTCACCCCCGAGTTTCACGGAAGCCACCTCGGCGGCTGCCACGCTGACCGACCGCCCACTGACAAACCAACGCAGCGGAAGCTAACGGAGTCAATGACCAACCCCTCCTCGGGGCCCCGGTCAGGCCTGAGTCCCTGGCTCTGGGGAAGCAGTTGGGCTGCAGCCGAGATGGGGAAGGGGCGGAGAGACGCCCGGGACGGGGAATGACGGGGACGGGCGAGGGAAGAGGCACGGCCGAGGGACTGCTGAGACCCCTGCTGAGCAGCAGCAGGGAAACGGCCCGTTCCCGGGCCGGGATGGCCGTGCCCTGCCCAGCTGTTCGCTGGCGTCTCCCCTTCTCCGGGGTTCAGGGGGTCCCTGGAACTCTGCACTGGGAGAGGAGGACTCGAGGCGGGGTCTGTAGGGGCAGCACCTAAGGGAAGCCGGTGATTCCCCAGGGCGGCCATCCTGCCGGGGTCAGCGACTCTCAGGGCCTGCTGGGCGAGCGCAGGTGGTATGACTCTGGGGGGGGGGGAGTGTGATGTCTGGGTGCCTGTGTGTGTGAGATGTGGGAGGTGCGATGTCTGTGCGTGGTGTGGGAGGGTGTGATTCTGGGAGTGTGTGTGATGTCTGTGGGTATGTAATGTGGGGGTTGTGACTCCAGGAGGGTGTGATGTCTGTGGGTGTGTGTGTGGTGTGGGGGGGTGCGTAGGTTTATGAGGGGGTATGCGTGTTGTGTGGATACACGTGGAGTACAAACGCGTGGCCTGTGAAGGTGTAAGTGTGAGTACGTGGGTGTGAGAGACGGTGCCGGCGGGCCACTGGGAGGCCCCGGAAGCTGGCTAAAGGCCACTGCGAGGGGCTGGAGCGACAGCACAGCGGGGAGGGCGTTTGCCTTGCACGCGACCAACCCGGGTTCGATTCCCAGCATCCCATAGGGTCCCCCGAGCACCGCCAGGGGTGATTCCTGAGCCTATGAACCAAGAATAACTCCTGGGCATTGCCGGGTGTGACCCAAAAAAGCCAAAAAAAAAAGGCCACTGCGAGTCCTGCTCTCATAGTGCTCCCCCCACTTCCTACCTCACAGGGGGCACCTTCTAGTCTCACAGACGCCGTGTCTGCCCCACAGACGCGTCTCTAGCCCACAGGCCGAGGACGGGGCCACCCGCCTGGGCCCCGTGACCCCCGCGGTCATCCCTGGAGGCGCGTCCTCGGACCCGGAGCCTGTCCCCGCCTGAGCAATGGGCTCCAGGCGGGCTGCCCGGAGCCCAGAGCCCGGGGGGCGGGGGGGAGGACACACAGAGCGGGGCGCGAGGGCCCGGGGCGCGGGTACCTGGGCACATGGGGCAGCAGCTGCCCTCCACGTTGATGGGCTGGGCGCAGGGCAGGGGCGGGCAGCTGACAGTGGAGCAGAGCGTCTGGCCCTGCAGGCAGTAGCAGTGGGTGCAGCTGTCCAGGTCCCAGCGCTCCTCGTCCGCGTACATCTTCCCGCCGAAGTGGCACACGGCCTTGCGGGGCAGCGTGTCCTCTGCCGGGGAGAGCACGGGGCGTCGCTGGGGGCCGGGAGGGCAGGGGAGACACGGACGGACAGACAGACAGACAGACAGACAGACGGAGGCCCCGCCCGGGGAAGAGCCCGGGTTGGGCAGGGGGAGACACGGACGGACAGACAGACAGACAGACAGACGGAGGCCCCGCCCGGGGAAGAGCCCAACCCGCCTTCCTGGGTGCTCTCCGGAGGGGCCTGGCGAACCCGGGGCCGCGGGCTCTGGGGTAGGGCGGGCCAGGGGGCAGCGCCCCGTCTCACCGATGCAGTAGGGGCAGCACTGGCCCTTCCGCAGCACGGGCCTCTCGCAGGCCACCGCCGGGCAGGACTCGGAGTAGCAGCTGATGGCGCCGCCGGCACACACGCAGCTGCTGCACACGTCGGGCTTCCAAGACTCGGCGGCCAGGAAGATGTCCCCGTCCTCGTTCCTGCAGTAGCTGGGCGCGCTCTGGTTCCGCGGCGCGGGCGGCTGCAGGGGCTCGTCTGGAAGGAATCAGGCCGCCCGTCGGACGCGCCCCCGGCCCCTACGCCGGCCGTGCGCGCTCTGGAGGGGCCGTGGCAGGGGAGGGGTGTACGCGGGTTCCCGTGTGCCGGGAGCTGTGTGAGGTTTAGGGGGTCCCTGGGCCCTGTGTGTGTGTGGGGGGGGGGCGTGGGCAGGTCCCTGAGCACTATGGGAGGAGCATAGGCAGGCCCCCAAGCACTGTGGGGGGAGCATGGCAGGTCCCTGAGCCCTGTGGGGAGGGGCGTGAGCAGGTCCCTGAGCACTGTGGGGGGAGCGTGGCAGGTCCCTGAGCATTGTGGGAGGAGCAAAGGCAGGCCCCCAAGCACTGTGGGGGGAGCATGGCAGGTCCCTGAGCCCTGTGGGGAGGGGCGTGAGCAGGTCCCCGAGCACTGTGGGGGGAGTGTGGCAGGTCCCTGAGCATTGTGGGAGGAGCAAAGGCAGGTCCCCGAGCACTGTGGGGGGACGTGGTGGGTACCTGAGCACTGGGGGCAGCAGGAGTCCTGCGTCCGCACGGGGCTGCGGCACAGCAGCGGGGGGCACACCTCGGTCCCGCACAGCACCCGCCCGCCGTGGCACGTGCACTGGGTGCAGGCGTCGATGTTCCACGTCTCGCCCTCCACGAAGGACTCGCCGCCAGGCGCGTGGCACAGGGACGGGGCGCTGAGCTCGGGCGTCTGCACCACCAGGTCGTCTGCAGGGAGGGCGCAGGGGTGAGGCCGATGGGCAGAGGGACCGGGCAGAGGGGGAGCACGCCACTCGGCACACACGCACACACACAGACACAGAGATACACAGACACAGAGATACACACTCACTCACACATAGAGAACCAGACACATACAGAGACACACTGAGACCCAGAAACACAGACACAGAGACACACACAGATACACACACAGCACACAGAGATACAAACATACACAGGCACACTGACACACAGACAGACACACAGAGACGCACAAATACAGACACACACATACACGCACACACAGGTGCGCGCGCTCGCAGGTGTGGAAACATGACGGGCCCACGGCAGGGACTAGGTACAGTGGCCAGGCTGGGCCAGTGCAGGGGTGAGGCTGGAGGTGGGAGCCGCTAGGAATGCGAGCACAGCCGGGGGCTGCGGGGAGGGGCTGTGGCCGGGCCGGGCTGTGCCAGGGTCCCATTTCCGGGGAGGGCAGCTCTGGGGTCCTGCGGTCTGGGTGCTGGACAGTGCCAGGAACCCAGAGCCCACGGCGAGATGCTGGCGGCCAGGCTGGGAGGCGCCACGAGAGATGGACGGGCACGCAGGAGAAAAGACAGGCCACGGGGACTGAGCGCCCACAGCTCCCCCCCTCCCCCCCGAGAGGGGACAGGCCGCGGCCACCCACGCTGTCTGTCCCCGAGGAGAGGGCGTGAGGCGCAGAGCGGGGCAGGCTCCGAGATGGCCTCTGGGGGGCGTGCCCAGGAGGGGCCGGGCACAGGGCCACAGGCTGGGCCCTGGCCTCTGCCAGGTTGAGGGGCTCCCCACCCCCCTCCCCTCCCTGCGTGGCCAGACAGACGCAGGGCCCAGCCTGACCGAGGGGACGGGGAGGGGGCGCCAGCCTCAAGGGACGGCAGTCGGGGTCAGAGAGGCTGTTTGGGGGCGACACCCGGGGCTGCTCCTGCTGTTCCTGGACCCTCGATGCTCAGGGGGTCCTTGGCCCCCCCGCCGGCCAGACCCGGGCAAGGCAAGAGCGGGTCCAAGGCGCGGCCCCCCGCCCTCCCGTCCGACCCACTGGCCAGCGCAGTCCCCTCGGGTCGGGCCCCGCCCCCGCCCCCACCCGTGGCTCACCCGAGCAGGACGGGCAGCAGTGGCCCGGGCGGATGGCGGGGCTGCTGCAGGCGGGCACGGGGCAGGTGATGAGGGCGCACATCTCCCGCCCGTGGTGGCAGTAGCACTCGCGGCAGCCGTCGTGCCAGCTCTCCCCGCTGGCGTGGTGGTGGCCGTCCATGGACAGGCAGGTGCCCGCCAGCACCGGGGGCTGCGCCGAGGCGGCCTCTGCGGGCGGGAAGGCGGCGGGTCCAGAGCTGCCGGGCAACGCCGCGAGCAGCCCCCGACCCCGGCCCCTCGCCCCTGCCCTCGACTCCGGCCCCGCCACCCCTGCCCTTGACCTGGGCTCTAGGCGTATGTGTGAGTGTGGTGTGGTGTGTCTGGGTCTCACACCTGGGGCTGGGTGTGCGGAGTTCACACCTGGGCTCTGGCTCTGTGTGTGTGTGTGGGGGGGGGGTCACACCTGGGTTCTGGGCTGTGTGCGTGTGTATCTCATACCTGGGGCTGTGTGTGCGGGGTCACACCTGGGCTGTGGGCCGTGTGTGCATGTGTGTGTGTGTGTGTGTGGTGTGGTGTGTGTTTGGGTCTTACATGTGGGGGCTGGGTTTGTGGGGTTCACACCTGGCCTCTGGGCTCTGGCTCTGTGTATGTGTGTGTGTGTGTGTGTGTGTGTGTGTGTGTGTGTGTGTGTGTCTCCCACCTGGGCTCTGGGCTGTGTGTGTGTCTGGGTCTCACACCTGGGGCTGTGTGGACCCCACTCACCTCTGCAGCTGCACAGGGGGCAGCCCTGTGCGTCCCGCTGGAAGCCCAGTGGGCAGCTCTTGGCGCAGGGGCGCTCGGGGCACTTCCTGCAGCGGCAGACGCCACAGCCGTGCTTGTTCTTCCTGCGGGTGGAGAGAGGGCTCAGTCCAGCGTGGCCAGCACGTGGACCGGTGACCGCATCTCGGTGGTCACGAGTGGCCCCAGGGTGCTTCTGGGAGGTGACTGGAGGGCTGGGCTGACGGGTCCCTTCAGGAAATGTGGCCCCCAACAGGAAAAGGCACAAGTGTGAGTCGGGGGATGGACACAGAGGCCACCGAGGCAAAGTGGCCACAGCCCCAAGCTGCCGGCCACGGCCGGTTTGAGAAGCCTCTGGCCCTGAGGAACGTGAGGAGACGGGACGGCTGGACCCCGGGACAGAAAAGAACCAAGACCCACGGCCTTGTGAATGGCACCAAGGTGCGGGCATGAAACGCCTGTGTGGCCCGGTCGTCAACATCCTCGGAAAGGGACGCCAAATGCACCGAGACGGCACACCCGGGTCGGGTGAGGGGCCTGGACGCTGGGCTGAGCAGAGACGTCGGAGAAATCAACAGACCTTACAAGACAGCCAAGAGCCAGAGCCGGGGGCAGGGCGGGCTGCGGACCCGGCAATGTCCAGTGGTCCCACTTCCTGCAGCAGGCGCCCTGCCTGCCCGCTCGGTGCCCCATACAGGCTTCATCTACGCCAAGATCTGTGGCCAGGAAGCCCCCGGTCAGTCCCGGGGCACACTGGGACTCGAGATGGTGCTTCTCCCCACAGCCGGACTGCCGGAAGGGTGATGACACAAACCCCCCAACGGCCCAGGAGACGTGGCTCCCCACACCAGCCTGCACAGGAGGGAGGGCCTGGGTGCAGCTCCGGACAGGAACTGCTGTGGCCACAAGGCCACGGGGAGCCTCATGTCTCATTCTATGTTCACAGTTTGCACTAAGAATGGACTGCACGTCTGGTCGGCTGGACAGCAGTAACCAACGTCCTCGGGAACGCTTTGGGTGGGGGTAAAAACCTCCCCACTTTGCTATCCAATCAAACTCGGGACGGAGAGGCCCGCCCTGCCGGACCAGCGCTTCCAAGCAGAAGGAAGATGCAGACGGCGAGAGATGCCCGACCCGCGTGGCCACAGCGGCAGGCAGGACACACGGGGACGGCCAACTCAGAAAGGCAAGACCCCAGGGAGCATGAGGCCCGGAGAGGTTGCCTCAATGGGCACAGACGCCAACACAGCCACTAACGACGCCCGCGGTGGGCTGGGGGCCACCCCCAGGAACCCAGGTCTTCGTGGAGTTTGACTCAACCGAGAGCATCTGAAAGCTCTGGTCACAGTCCTGACGGCCTCACAGCGACAGTGCAGTAAAGCGTGTCTGCAGCTGAGGGGGCGGCTCTGCTCACGGCAGATGGGGGGCACTGCAGGGGGCGGGACTTGGTGTCTGGGTGGGAAGTCACAGCACGAGCCACCCTGGCACTCTGAGATGTGCCTCGGCCCCCACCAGCACCCCCTCCCCGTCTGAGTCCCCCTGTCTCCCGGGGTGGGCCGTGCTCGGGGGTGACGTGAGAAAATCAGGCGGGCTGCTGGGAGGAAGCGGCCTCGCGGACACACGCCCATACGTACACATATCCGAAGGGGCAGTGCTTGTCACAGGCAACGGGCCGGCACTTCCGGGGCCGCGGGCGGCACTGGCACAGCTCACAGTCGTGGGCATCAGTCAGGAAGCCGTAGGGACAGGTCAGGGTGCAGCCACGCCGGAGGCCCGAGCACAGGGCGTCCCCTGTGGAGACACGGAGGGGCTTGTCCCTGGGGCCGCCCTCCCCTGCCCACTTTCCCCAGTGGCCCTTGTGTTGATCCCACCCGGCACAGGCCCAGGAAGGTCAGCACTGGTCGACCCTGCCTGCCTAGAGCCTGCTCCACATGTGGCTGGCCAAGGAGTGACGGCAGTGAGGGGTGACCCGTTGGCCGTGGGGCGAGGTTCCCGGGGAGTGTGCGGTCTCCGCAGGACATCAGCACTGGTCACTGACCAGCCCGCCTGCTGGACGCGTGGGGAACGGACGCCGGGACCCAGAGAGTCGGTGAACAACAAGCACGGCTGGAGACACTCAGTGTGCAGGGCGGTGGGGCTCTCTCCTGTGGCCCCCTTGGATGGTTCCGTGGGGGAGAGAGCGCAGGGAGGGTGGGCTGGTCGGCCAGCGGGAAGGGCTTCACCAGGTGTGACAGGGGCGGCACGGAGCAGTGTACACAGTGGCCAGGGCCGGGGCCGAGAAGACGAAGCCCGTGAGGACACGTGTGGACCAAGCTTTAGCACAAGAGCTGGGCTTGTTCTGGGGTCCAGGCTGGGCAGTGCTCTGGCTCCCTCCTGCCTCTGTGCTCAGGGCTCCCTCCCGGCTCCTCGGGGGACCGTCTGTGTGTCTGGGGTGAACCCTGGATTGGCCGCGTGCAGGGCGGGCCCCTGCCGCTGTGCCATCATCTATCTCAGCGGCTCTTCGAAAGCACCAAGGCTGGGTGGCCCAAGGACAGGCTCGCGGCGTGGTTCTGCAGGGTCCGGGGAGACGGAGCCAACGTTCTGTCAGTGAGTGCTCATCCACACCCGATCCGCTGTCAAACGACACAGGAAGCGCCTGGGCAAAGCAGCCGAACACGTGTCCTCTCCGCGCACAGACCATGTAACCGGAAACGGGACCTTCCATGTGGCCCCTGGGGGGGGGGGGAAATGACACAGGTGCATGTGTCACATATATGGTTTACGGAGGTATCTGGGGCGAAAGCTCCGAGCAGCACCTCGAGGCTGAGTCCTGACGCGCTCTCTTCTACTCGGTGACCACCACAGACCTTCCGTTCCACGTCCGACAGAAGCCCCTGCCCCACGGGGAAGCGGCTCTTTATGAATTGCGTCCTTACAAGCCGAATCCTAAAGGGCTCCTGTCTGGAAGTTGCTGATGGTGGGGGGGGGGGGGGGGGGAAGAGGCCGTCCTGCGCCTGTTCTTTTCCCCCAGGAAGGGGGCGGGGATGGTGGCGAGGCCTCTCGGGGCCAGGACTCTTCCCCCTAACCCCGAGGTCCAGGCCGCGGCCCGTCTGTCGCTTGAGAGACTTGGGTCGGTCAGCAAAGTGGACGCTGGAGGGACTGGAGGAATCGGAAAGGCTCCCCTGGGCAGACGCCTGCATCCGCGGCCCTCTGACAGCCACTGCCCGCTGTGCTTGCTCTTCCGGTCCTGGAACAGCTGTTTCCCTGCAGGCCGTGGTCTCGGAGAGGGCGGCGGGTCTGGCCACGCAGAGGGAATCATGTGACAGGAGCCACGGTTGCGCCCTCAGCTCTGTTCCGCGGGGCGTCACACTCCCCCAGCGCAAACCAAATGAGGACGTGGAGTCCCAATGGATGAGGCGGACGGGGGCCAGTGGACGGCTGTACCCCCGGGCTGGGGGCTAGGAGGTGTCTGGACCCCTGGCACAGGTCACATGGTACTCTGCTCCCCTCTCAGCGTCCCCCGGGCCTTTACAGCTCTGGGGAGGGTCCGCGTGACCCGAGTCTTCATTGAGTGAACGAGTCTGTGTTTGCGCTCATGGCCACAGCCCGGAAAATGAGGGGAGGGAAAGGGGGGTTGTGGGCACACGCAGATGCCCACACCTCGCCAGACACGGCAGCCAGGCCCGGACGTGTGGACTAATAACCGACTTCTCTGCAAGGCAGCGCGGCGGACAGGCAAACTTCGACGCGGAGCTCCCCAAAGTGCTCTGGCCCCAGATCCCTTTCAATAACCGAGGCCGATACAGGAGCTCAGACGAGTCTGCTTTCACCCTGCTTCTTCCTCTCGAGAGTCCAATCCAATTAACACACACACACACACACACACACACACACACACACACACACACACACACACACAAATTTCAGTTCTTAGAGAGTTTCCGATCTTTATCCCAAGGACGTCTGTGAGGGAAACAGGTTCCGCCTCTTTCCAGTTCTCCGGACGCTGGCGCCGCTGAGCTGTGTGTTGGGGCAGCGCTACCTGCCGGATCCGAGCGAGCCAAGTGACAGTGTCCAAACACTCACGTCCTTTGTCACCTGCCTCCCGGGCAGCTCTGAGGGATGGCTCTTTAATGGGCTTCGATTGCAGTTTGAAAGCGGCTGTCCGTCGTCGGCCGGATCAGGCTGCAATGCCACCACGACACGTCAGCTTGTGACGACCGGGTTCCTTTGGATCCTTCGAACCCCTGATGCTGAGCCCCCACGAACGGCAGCGAGTGCCAGGTGGGAGCCGGAGCAGGAAGTAACAGGAGCGGAATCTCCATTCCACGCGGGGCTTCTCTGGAGACGCTCCGATGCGGCGCAGGCGAGGTCTAGACACTCCCAGCGGGCCCAGGGAGGTGGTTCCGTACACGAAACTGGCAGCTGGCAGGGGAGGGGCACAGACAAATGACCCGAGACGGGAGCCTGGACAGTGTCCACAGACCGTCAGGGCACAGCGTCGGGGAGAGAACCCACTTCCCGCCCGCTCTGACGGCAAGAACAGTCCTTCCTCGGAAACTCGCCGGAAGGAATGGGAATCCCCGCAGCTCCGAGGAGGAGGTGGAAGGTCGCCAAGCGTGTCCTTGGGGGACACGAGGCGGATGGCCATGGGCACAGGGCGGGGGCAGCAGGGGCCTCCACACCGGCTACTCACACTGTGATACAACTCTGGCGGTGGGGTGACCAATGCCTGCACGTCAGCCCTTCGTGCGTTTGTGGGTGCTACTCCCTGGCTCTGCATCCGTCCATCCGTTGCGTTACTGTCTTCTGCACTCACTCGTTTACCGGTACTACTGTCTTGCATTGGTTTATCTATGCATGTGTTCATCCACAGGGACGTCTTCCTCTGCGTTCGTTCGTTCGTTCATTCATTCATTCATTCATTCATTCATTCCCTGGAGTTACCCTCTCTGCCTTTGTTCACCCACTGGGTTTGTTCACCAGCTGCCTCGGCCGACATCCTTCCATGAGACATCGCCAAAGGCCTCTCCCAGGCAGGACACCAGGGCTGCACCAGATCAGGGAGGCAACTGGCCTCGCTGGGGGCGGCCAGCAGGTAGACGCCAGAGCCGAGGAGGGCCTCTGGCCTTTCCGACTGCAAGAACCTGGCGGCCAGCGAGCTGGGGTGTGGTCTGACCCGGCCTGCCCCCACGAAAGTGGAGTCTCCAAGAGCCGGGGGCACAGGAGATGCTGGTGACCGGACAGCGGCAGGGGCCTCGGCAGCGAGAGGGCAGAGACCTGCACACAGGGCCATAGCAGGTGGACAGGCCGGGCAGCCTCATGCGAATGGCTCCACCCTGCCCTGCCTGTGTCTGTGAGGCGGCGTATGCAGTCTTGAGGGACACACCGAGCACGGCTGGGCCTCCCTGGACCTGACCCGCGTGACCTGGGTCATTCACCTCTGTGGGCCTCATGCCCGGGACGGCGGCTTCCCCTGCCCTTAATCTCTTGCGAGTCTGGGGGGTGTGCAGAGAAACTGCAGGTTCCGGCGTCACCTGGGCGGGCTGAGGTCACCGGATTGGGGGAAGATTCCGGGGGAAAGCGAAGGGGAGTTGCTGAGAGTGCAAAGGGCCCAGGATACCTCCCTGCCCCCCTTGGTCCTTCCGGTGGAGATTTCCACCAAGGACGCGGCCTGCCACCCTGGTGACGCTGGGGCAGGAGCCAAAGCAGACGAGGGTCCCCAGGGGCAGGCGAGGCCCCGTGCACTCCTCCTCGGATTTACACTGGCATCTCCAGGAGCTGCTGGATCTCAGGCACGGCCGGGCCTGTGCTGGCAAGGCCTTTCCTGGGACCGGGGAGTGACGCTTTGCGCTAATCACAGCACATCGAGCGCGAACCACGGGGACGACCACAGTGGCCGGGAGCAGGGTGCTTTGTTCCCCGGGGAGAAACACCAGGGCTACAGTTTCAAGGGTCGCGCCCTGGAGCTGGGGCTGGAGCCAAGGTGGAGACAGAGCTGGGGGTCCTGGGGGGGGGTGTCTGATGGCCTCAGGGCGCCTCTGCGTGGGTGGCCTCCTGGTCAGACAGACGGCCGGGGGCACCGGCACCGGGGCAGGCAGAGGCCGGTCTGCAGAGCTTTGCGGAGGCCCCGATTCTGCACCCTCGAGCCCGAGAAACCACTGAGGTGAATCAACACGACGGAGCGAGAGCCAGAGTGAGGCCCGGGTCCCGGGGACGGTGCCGTGAATGCTCTGGGCCGATCGGCACCGTCTCCCCCCGCCCCCCTCCAACCAGGCGCGGCCCCGGAGCGTGGTCCACTCACTGCTTTTGCACTGGCAGGTGCGGCAGCCGTTGTGGTCCAGCCGGAAGCCGTAGGCGCAGTCCTTCTCGGTCAGTGTGCAGTTGGTCAGCTCCCTGCAGGCCGGCGGCGGTGGCCCAATGGTGATGTACGTGGGCTCTGTGGGGGGAGAGAGGGGACACCAGGTTACCACGCGCCGCTCGCTCTGGAAGGCCCGACACGCCGGCAGGTGCTAAACAAACAAACAGCCAGGATGGCTCCCGCTCAGGGGTGCTGGGGGCCCGCGAGAGTATTTCCACGCAGTCCGGAGCCCCCGGCATATCTCTGGTGCTCTCAGGGGGAAGGCACCCCACAGGGGTCCAGAGAGCCCCCTCCCTGACGCCTCCCGACGTCGCCCGCACCGAGGTCTGCAAACTCCTGACCGGAGCAGAGTCGTCAGGGGTCAGGGACGTTGCTCTCCACCTCACGCGCTGGACAGCACAGGTTTGCTCTGGGCAAGCGAACAGAGCAGAAACAGAGAGACCGGCTGGCAGGGCGGGGCCGGGACTCTATTTCCCGCCGGTGACAGGGTGCGCCCTCGGGGCAGAGGGGTGCCGTTAGGGAGGAGTCTGCCGGGGGGAGGCCGTGGTGGAGGGAAGAGTGTGTTTACTCTGATGCACCCCAAGGGGCCCCGATCCTGCAGTGAGACTCGAGGGCCGTCGGCGGTTCTTGCTGGGCACACGCGTGTCCGGCCCGCCCACGTCTCAGGTCAGCGAGGGGCGCAGCAGGCACAAACCCGGGGGGGGGGGGGGTCCCGAGTCAGCTCTGGTCCCTGAAGCTCCAGCTGGGCAGAAGCAACACTGAGAAGGTCCCTAAAGGGGTGACGAACGCAGCTCGGCGGCTGCCGCTCGCCCTGAGGCCCGGGGCTGCCGTCCAACGAGCGGCTTCCTCCGGCAGCTTAGCCCACGCGCCAAGAACAAGGGCCGCCACCTGCCGGGGAGGGAGGAGCAGACAGGGGCTGGAACAGGCCAGGCCGGAGCCCGCTCCCCTCCCGCAGGCTCCGCGCCCTCCCCTCCGCTCACAGCCCGACCCATCGGTCCTCGCGGCATGCCTCTCCGCATCTCCTGTCCACGCACTACCTGTCCATCCTCACAGAACTTCTTCCCTCCCTCCCCACCTGTGATTCACTGACCCTCACAGAACTCCGTTTCCTCTTCACACTCTTTCAATTAATCCTCACAGAACGTCCTCATCTCCTCTTCACCCTCTATCCTCGAACCCTCACAGAACCGCCTCACCTCCCCGCCACACTCCATCCCTCAACCCCACGGAATGTCCTTACCTCCTCTCCACGCTCCACCCGCGGGTCCTCACAGAACCGCCTCACCCCCTCTTCACACACCATGAATCCCCACAGAATCGCTTCTCCTCCTCCCCACACTCTCTCCGCCAATCCTCACGGAACCAACTCCCGTCCCGTCCACCGCGTCCCCCTGAATCCCCAGTCTCCTCACCTCCCGGGCACACTCATTAGTCCACACTGTCTGCTCTAGTCTCACCCGAGGGGAGAGGCAAAAATCAAGTCTTAAATTCTCATTCTTCAAAAGGGCCAGGGCTAAGAGCGGCCACAGGAGCCACGGCTCGTGAAGACACAGGGGGACCCGCGTTTTCCTCATGAGCACACAGTCCGAGGAACATTCCCTCAGACTTTCCTAACAAATTGAAAAAAAAAAATCTCATTTCCTTGTGCTACCAAGTATCCTTTTTTTTTCTTTTTCTTTTTGGGTCACACCCGGCGATGCTCAGGGGTTACTCCTGGTTCATGCACTCAGGAACTACTCCTGGCCGTGCTCAGGGGACCCTAAGGGATGCTGGGGATCGAACCAGGGTCGGGCCGTGTGCAAGGCAAACGCCCTCCCCGCTGTGCTATCGCTCCAGCCCCCAAGGATCCTTTCCGATGGGCCAATATGAAGAGTGAAACAGGAGCGGAAGCTCAGGACGCTGTTAACCAACAAAATACAGAAGTGCCGCTTCGTAGATACTTCTCAAGTCTACCACAAGCGGCTTCAGTTTCCTAAGCAACAGTGTTTCCCTGACTACTCTTCCCTCCGCCCAAAGCCGCGATGCTGGTCCACGGGCGCTGCTCCTGGCGGGGCCCACAAGGGGACTGAACTCGGGACACTCCTTGCTGTGCTCTGCCTCCCATGCTGTGTGGAAACTATTCTGGCTCCAAGGAGCGTCAAAACCAAAATCAGTTCAAGTGACCCCCCGCACTGACACGCCTTCTGGGGCAGGACTGGAGACCCAGGATTGGGCTGGACTCAGACCTCCCCAGTCTAGTACTTTACTGAGAGGTGTGAGGACCAAGATGGAGCTCGAGTTGCCACAGAAGGCCCAGTCTCCTGTTCTGTACTGACACCGAGGCCATGGGAAACGCGGCCTGCAGAAAAGTGACGGACACAGGAAAGGTCTCGGAGTGGGGAGATTTTGTCGGCTGTGGTGGTTCTGCAGGCAGGGCTTGGTTCCAGTGGGTTCGAGAGACTTGCGAAGACCCACGGCAGTGACAAAGGAGCCACCTTCGAGGTATACAATGATGAACAGATGGGCCTGAGTTCTGTGGCCTGGTCTGAAGATGGACATGAAGGGTCCGGGCATTTAAGGTCCAAGCCCCCTCAGCCGGCGCGGGAGAGCCAAGTCCCTCCAACACTGCTTCCCCACGGTGCCCAGGAGCACACGAAGAAATGCCCAGAAGGGCAGTTCCACACTAGCTGCGCTCAGCCTACCAGGGAGACCGGTCCCTGATGGAGCCTTCTGGAGACAAGGGAAAGTGGAACGCTCGAAGCGTCCAGAAGGCGGCACTTCCCCAGCGCCTCTGTGACAACACGGAAAACGTGTTGGCCAGACGCGCTTCAAAGCCCGACTCCCTGGTTCATGCTAAAACACAGAAAATCTCAGCATTTCTGCAGGAAAACTCTCCATTTACCCTGGACCCGCTCACTCTCCCTGTGATAAATGAGGCCGAACAAACAGCCCGGTGAGCACTGAGCGCAGACGTCAGAACTCTGCGAAAGCCTTTTTGTTTATTTTTGCTGTTTTTTGGGTCACACCCGGCGGTGCTCAGGGGTTATTTCTGGCTCTACACTCAGGAATTACTCCTGGCGGTGCTTGGGGGACCATATGGGATTGAACCCCAGTCAGCCACATGCAAGGAAAAGGCCCTCCCCGCTGGACTATCGTTCCAGTCCCAAGAAAAGCATTTCAGCACAAATCATTTCACCACATTGAACAACCACAGCAAAAGCCCCACGTTTCCCTTTACTGATATTGGAAGAAATAGTTCATAGTGGCAGAGGAGCCTGTGAAGGTGGCGATGCACCCAGACATCACACACTCACCACACACACCATCACTTGATCACTTGACTCATCGATTTGCACAAGCGGGCACCAGGAACGTCTCCATTCATCCCTGTTGAGTGCTAGTGCAGCCCGATGGCGTCTGCTCGCTCCAGGACCACAAAGAGCCTCAAACTGTTCGTTCAGGGTCTTGCCGAAGAGGTCTGACCATCTGGTAGGTGGGCGGCCACGTGGTCTTTTGACGTCCCTTGAAATCCAGTCGGTAACGGCTCTAGTCCAGCAGTCGTCTCCATATCGCATTAGACGTTCAGCCCATCTGATTTTTGATGCCTTGGCGAATGAGACAGCATCCCTGATTCTCGATCGTTGATAGAGGCCAGAACTCTGGATTCCTTCTCTCACTTGAGGGAAGTGTGATACTCCAAGCATAGCTCTTTCGATTCCTCTTTGGGATACTCGAATAGCGTTCTCATCCTGTTTGCGTAGGGCCCAGGTCTCTGAGGCGTATGTTAGTGCAGGGAGAAAGAACGGTGGAGTCGAAGAGATGTGCCTGGAGCTGTAGGTTCTTAGTCCTCTTAGCTATTTCTTCGACACTCTTGAAGGCGTTCCACACTGCTCTCTTCCTCCTGCGCAGCTCAGATACCAGGTCATTCGTCATTCTGAGCTCTCGACCTAGGTACACATTACTGCTGCATTCACAGATGTTCGTTCCATCGAGAGTGAATGGAACATCAGGAACGAGTCTGTTTTTCATGAACATTGTCTTCATAAGATTCAGCTGCAGTCTGACCTTTTCACACCCATGGTCGAAGTCGGCCAGCATTTGTACTGTTTGGCTAATGTTTGGTGTTATTAGAACGATGTCATCAGCAAAGCGGAGGTGGTGTAGTTGCTGACCGTCTATCTTCACTCCCATTCCTTCCCATTCCAGTTGTTGCATGACGTTCTCGAGGGTGGCACTGAAGAATTTTGGTGAAATGGTATCGCCCTGCCGAACCCCTCTCTTTACATCGATGATCACTTCCTAGTAGAATAGAGAGATCCTGGTAGTGAATCCATAATACTGCTTACGTAGGATCCTGATGTATTGGGCTTGAATGCCCTGATTGGCTAGGGCTTCAATGACCGCTTCCGTCTCAACAGAATCAAAGGCCTTCTTTAAATCAATGAACGTTAAACAGAGCGGCATCTTGAAGTCCCGAGAAACCTCAATGAGCTTGGTTACCGTGTGGATATGGTCGATGGTGCTGAATCCTTTGCGGAACCCTGCTTGCTCGCATGGTTGTCCTTCATCTAGTGTTCTGCCAATCCTATTTAGGATGACTCGAGTGAACAACTTGTAGATGACAGACAATAGGCAGATCGGGCGATAGTTGCCAATGTCATGGATGTCTCCCTTCTTGAACAGTAGTACGGTCCTGCTGGTTTTCCATTGGGACGGAACCTTGCATTCAGACAGGTAGCGAGTGAAGAGCCGAGCCAGTGTATTGATGAGTACTGACGGCAGGTTCTTCAGGTGTTCAGGTCTGACCTTGTCTGGGCCGGGTGCTGTTTGTTTCTTTACCGATGAAATGGCGCGTCGGATTTCGGAAGGGAGCACGTTGGGAACGACACACACCATACTCTCACATATTACACACACCACACTCTCATGTGCTCCGTGGGCGATGCCCTACTGGGTCTCCCCATCTGTCACCAACCTGACAGCTGACCCCTTTCAACGGGGCCACCCCGACCCGGCCCACAGCTCCCCAGGAGGGCCCTCGGCCTACAGCTCCCAGGCGCTCCCGGCCCACATCCCAGCCGTGGGCAGCGCACGCCCAT